TGGTTATCAATCAGAAAAGCAAATGACTCAAATGACCTTAATGATTCAAATGACCTGGTAATTATTTGGGGAATTTATATATAAGGGTCCAAAAATGAAAATAATTACAAATAAGGGCCCAAAATGAAATAAAGGCCCAATATTTGAAAATTATTACAAATAAAGGCCTAAATGTACTGTCAAATTACTAGCAGATTTAAGCATAATGGTATTCTGATTAATTGCCTCATTTTGTGATTAAATAGGTGTTTTAGAGTCATTATTCATTATTCAGAATTAAAAGAAAACATAAAAATCTGATCAACAAAACGGATTTTTGAGCAAAACGAAAAATTAACTGAGACCTAATAGCTTTACTTCTCAAACTACCATATATGTGTCTCGGCTCCTACTTAAAAACGAATATGATTTAAATATCACGAGGTCGAAGTACTACTATTTATTTAACTAATGGCACAGTAAACTTTGCAAGGTATGATCAATGTGCTTTGAATGCTTCCATAGAAGTTAAACAAGTCGGATCATGAGGAATCAACCTTACTATATGAATGTAGCCACTTTTGCGCTTGTTAGCTGAAATAGTAAAAGGGTATGAACTGGTTTGGTTTGTAAAGCAAATAACCAACAGCTTGTTTTGTTTGTCCGTTCTGAACTTCTAAGGAGAAGACAATTCGACAAAATAACTATCCAGGGCCGAATGGACATTTTTATGTTAGTAAAATCATATCGATCTGTAATTTTTATTTTGACATTATTTTTGTTATAAGCAAGCAGATTTTTAAGAAAATATATCGGAATAAATTTACAGGGTAAATAATTGGTTGAGGAATCGAATATACATTTTATTGCGCATTTGAATTTATATTTGAATTACTATAGATTATTATTGCATTTCTTATGCTAACAATTAATGACTATATTACAATCATATTCGAATCATCGAAACGGGCCTAAATCATAGATTCTTAAAAGCGCATAGTTATTTTGGGCCCTTATCTGTAATAATTTTCAAATATCGAGCCTCTATCTGTAATTATTTTCATTTTGGGCCCTTATTTGTAAATTCCCCTAATTATTTTGATGACTTGGGGTCATTTAAATTTTGATCAAATGACCAAGTCATTACCATCCCTGGATTGACGCATATCAGGCTTTCAATTATTGGCTGGAGCTGAGGGGAGTGAAGTGAAAGCCTTCAAGCTATACTCTACGAATTTTCGGAAATGTCCGGCTCCCGCTTCACGTAACCCAAATTTTAGGTTCAAATAACCAAAATTAGGTTCAATGCTTGGATACCGAATTCTTGGTTTAAATGTAGTAGCTGACTTTTAATAGAACATAATAACTGACTTTTAATAAATTATATGTGAAATATAGCAGCGGACTTTTTTATTAATAGAATATAAATGAAGGAGGTAATTTAAAAAAATACGATGTTTAAATCAAGTTTTGAATGAAATCATTAAGTTTACGATGTAATCAATGTCGGGGATGATGCTGAAATTTGGGGTCTTAATTTGAAAATATAAGACCTACTAAAATCCATCTATACTATTTTATTATAAGCAATAACCCTAAATTCTAATCGAACTATAAAAAAAAAAGCTCATCAAAACACCCCCAAAAAATTTTAAATTTTCATAATAAAATAAGTCAAAATTTCAGCAGACATTAAATTATTTTAGAAAACAAATATCAACCACATGTCAACTTATTGAGGATCTTGACCTCAAAAAGGTTTCGAGATGCTGTCGCAGATCTTAAGCATAATTATTGCCCTACTTATAATTTTTTTCTTCGGTTATTGGCTGGAGCTGAGGGGAACAAAGTGAAGCCTTCAAGCCTTACTATCGCTATACTGAATTTTCGGAAAACCCGTTCTCGCCTTATCCCGATCCAAATTTTAGGCTCAATTACCAGAATCGAATCTAAGTTAGGTTCAACGTTTGGATACCTGAATCTTGAGTTAAAATATAATGGCTAACTTTAACAGAATATATAACTGACTTTAATAAAAAATATATATTTTGTCATACTCTACTAAGTTCTAGGAATGCCCAGCTCCCGCTTCATTCTGGCCAAAATTTTAGGTTTAATCCTCAGACTCAAATATTAGGTTCAACGTTTGGATACCTGAATCTTGAGTTAAATATCCTGGGCAATATTCAGAAATTGGACCAAAATTAGGCTCAATGTTTGAATATCGAAATCTTGATTTGAATACAATAGCTAACTTTAACCGTATATTAACTAACTTCTGATAAATGCCACTTTAATTATCTATGCAATTCTGATTAAAATGAATAATTATACGGACCATAACCAAGAGGACCGATTCAATCTATTAAATACATTGTACTTGGAAAGAAAAATAAAGGACTTGCTCTCGCATGTAATTTCTTTTATGTCTTGCTTGGGCAACTACAATTTATAAGTTTGATACTGCAATAAATCTTGGATAAATAACTCGCAACTAATATTATATTTGTAGATGTATAAAGGATCTGCACATTTGCTGACATCCTTTTTAATACTCCTTTCTTTTTCTTTTGACAGATTACACATATTATAACAAATATGTATGCATTTGCCACAAGAATAATAAAGCAAAATTGCTTTTATTTTAAATTTAGTATAGATGTAATCTCATAAGTAATATATAGCAATTTATAAAATTTAAATACTGTACTATTTTAAATTTAATTCCAAGTGTAAGACTAATAACTAGAGCTCCAGCTCACAAAACGTCGCCGTTTTTCTAGTATAGTTTAAAATTGTATTGCTGTATTGCATATCGTGATCAATTATATTAAAGCCCGATGTGTTATCGATCAGAAGGGTTAATTCGAATAAGTAATCAATAATATGCTTAAAAAACCAAGGTGGCAGCACTCATATGTGATGTTTCTAAATCTAACTGGCAAATTGGTGGAAAATTTTGACGATTTACGAACTAAAGTTTCTTATTCTAATTTCGCAAACAATTTACAAAATTTTCAATTGCACCCGACCAAAATATAAAGCCCCTATCATATGAAAAATATTTTATAAAGATTTTATTAATAATCTAATATTTTAAAAAAGCTATTCCCGTGAGTATTTACATTACACAACATACGCGTTAATTTAATAATTATGCAATGCATAAATAACATTTATCAACTGAAGCATTTAATGTTTATCATATCTAAATCTTATTTATATTTTTGCAGTCGAAGTTAATGATGAATTTAACCATTTTGCGCGGGTTCGTTGTGACCCCATAAGATCCGGTGTAACGTGAAATCAAAACAAACTAGCAACGCATTAATTTAGGAAGAGTTAGCACTAATGTAGGGTTAGGTTAGATTGTAGGTAAATGTTAGTTATAACCAAAATTTTGCAAGGAATTTTTTAGTTCATAAGCAAAATTATTTTTCAAAACATCGCTATTTTTTCGATTTCACGTTACACCTGATCTTATGATCTGATTGGTCGATCAGGTGATGCGTTATAACGCGCATGCGCTAAATTATATACTGTAACTCTTTATTTAAATATTTATTCTGTTACCATTGTAAAAAGAAAATGCTTTTATAATTATGCTTAACGACAGATTTTTGCCAGCTCTTTATAAAAAAAATAAATCAGTTTCATTAATGAGTATAGCCAAATTAAAACTGGATTGAAATCATCAGTTACTGGTTTTAATTTAGCGACATTCAAAATCAACCGACATATGACTCATATTTCAAAGTATTATCCCATAATTTGGGATATATGATTCTTTGTGAGTTGCATAGACTGTTTAAATCCCGATTTATTTAATGAATAAGTTTATGCTATACAATAAAATCCTTTTAAACATATAAATATTACTAACATTGATAATAATACACTGTATATGTAAATTACGACTCAGATCCACGTTTCGTATTTGGTTTCGAAAATCGGCTTTTGATAAACCTAAATTTAAGACTATCCATGAAATTAGGTTTCGATGGCGCAATTGTCTTTGAATTGTTGTTATTAGTAGATTTTTTAGTTATCGTAACATTACTACTTTCTCCTACATCTGTATGACTATCTGACTCTTCATCTTCATCTTTCATTACTTCTTCTACGCTTTCACAATATTTAACAAGTTCATCTAATTCAAATTCATCAGCCAATACTTTAATTTTTCCTAAATTATCATCAACGAAATCGTCATTTATATACATCACTAATTTATATTCAATCAATTCTTTCATGATATCAATGTCTAATTTTTCAGATGCTAATAATAAACCTTTGCAAGTTTGAAAGAATGTATTTTCATTTTCCTTTTTTTCGGAATTTTGTATAGCTTCAGATAACGATTCTCCATATAACCACCTTAATAATATGCGAAATGAATCAGGTTCAATGTCATCATATGTTTGATTAAAATTTGTTGAAGGTTCAGAGAATAAGTCTTCAAAATATGGTGCTGCACAAATTAATATTGAAGAGTTTGCATAAATTTCTTGTCCTTTAACATTAAACAAGACATTATTAAAAGGCGTGTTGTTTCCAGCGTTTAAAAATTTTATCATAGATTTAGATAGTCGATTAGTATTTTCTTCTTTTGGTTCTGTTTTTGACCAAATAGGAATATCAGGTGAATTTACACCAGCTAAATCTAAAAGTTTCGGATATTTTAAAAGATGACTGGCAACAACTCTTCTTCTTGGACTGAAATCTTTTTCAATCTTTAAATCAAGTTGTGGTGCTGCAACCCAATCATACGAATTAAATGGATCTTTACCATTCAAAAATATTTGAAGTCTTTTAAGCCCTTTAGGAAAATACGATCTTAATTCTTCACAGTCATTTTCTAATTTTTTATAAATTTGTTCTAATTCTTCAAATATTAATCGACTACCAACATCTCCCAACTCTTTCCATTCATCCGATTTTGTTATTGTTGATTGGATGGCTTTTAAATGACTAATAATTGTTGGAATAGTCGGTAAACCAAGATTTTCATAATTTCTTAAAACATTTTCGGGTGGTTCATCTTCAAAGAATGCTAATTGAGTCCATGCAAGATTCATATATTTTGGATGACATAAATTTTCAAAGCATTCTAATTCATCTGAATCACTTTTACCATAACGAGAATATAATTCATTTAACATTTTATTTGGTCCACATTTGATTTTTGATGTTGGAACAAATTTAATTTTTGATAATTGTTTCCATTCTTCTTCTGAAAATGTTATTTCTGATTGGTGATCATAAAAATAAAAAATTGTTCTTTTTGCTGAACTTATAATTTCCCTTTTATTATATAAATCATTCTCATTGTTTTGAAATTTACTTTGAATTTCTTCTGCACATTTAATGTAAATCTCCGGTGTAACATTTCTTCTAAATCCCATTTCTTCAAGTACCTTTAAAGAATATGAATTATCTTGAAGACTATTATGAAGAAATCGATTAGAATCTTTATAAACAAATTTAAATAATTGATGCTTTTGATCAAATAAATCTCTTGCACAGAAAAGTGTAAATGTTTGGTTTGGAATGACTTTTAAATCTTTTAAATAATCCTTTAATGCATCAATACTAGTAGCATCGGTGAATATTTCAATTAAAAATTTTATATAAGATTCTTGCAAATTTTGAGGAATTGATTCCCCCATATTAGGTACAATAACATCTTTAATATATCTTAATTTATCTTGTACTTTAGCTGCTGCATATTCCAATAAGCTTCTCATATCTGGTTCGAATGTTGTATCAAAGTAATAAGTAGTTTTGTTTTTAGGTGGATAAAATGTAAACGATCTTAATGAATTTGTGGGTTTTGGTATCAGATATGCATTAGGGTCTAGTATAGCTTTACATATCGGATTTCCATCTAAATCTTTAACATGTGTTGGCCATATAGGTAACCTTCCCAATGGTTCATATTGATATCTCTCATTCACTACTCTACGTATGTTTCTACATAAATACTGACACAATACCTCCCTATCTTTTTTATTGGTAAACCGATTTTTTTCAATGCACTGGTATTGTTTTATAATATCTAAAACACTATATGCTGTTAGTGAATAAATAGGAAGTTTATGGAACTCAGCATATCGTTTAGTAAATCGAAGGCCAATATTTGCCAATGTATGAATGATTTCTGAAGGTGATGAATAATCACTATATGTTATTAAAGGTTTGGTCAATATATTTTTTATGCTTACGAGTTGGTGTTTATTTGGGTTATTTGGATCATAAACATCTAATAAAGGAAATGACGTATACGGTTTATAAGGTTTGTCCCCTATACATTTCCATATTTCATCAAGCCATCGTTTATTTGGAATCGATGAACCATATGGTTCCCAATCTCGTTCTGATTCAATATGTAATTCTTGATGTAAAAGATGATTAACTGTTGGCTCTCCAAAATCTTTAATATTGGTTCCTTTACGAAAATCTTCATCCGAAAATATTGATATTAATTTTCGTGATTTTAGTAATTCAATAGGAATAAAATGGTTTGGTCCTGCCGTAGGAAATAATTTATATTGTTCTTTCGCACTAATGTAATATATTTTGCCGTTTTGAAATTTTCCAAATTTATGATTAAATAATGGAACCAAGTGAATATCTTCAAGGTCATTATATTTTTTATCTTCAAGAATATAATGAAATATAATGAAAATATTTTCTTCTTGCATATGTAAGATACTTTCATTATTTTTTAAAATCTTTCTAATAAATTCTGGACTAGCCTTTCGAGGTTGTAACGTTTCTAATTCTTCTAAACGTTTAGCTTCTATTAAAACTGCTGGATATTCTTGTTCATTAAGAAAGTGAACAACTGCTTTTGGTGTTTCTTTAGTTACAAAGACACATTCTTTGAAACTAACATATGTACCATCCTTATACGTTGACCAAAATATTTTACTTCCTTTTTCCGATGCAAGTTCGATCACTTTTAACCCATATCTCAAAATTTCTGCATTTTTATTTTCTGGAATCGGCCATAATCGTGTAATACCTTGAAAATTTGCATTGGTTGATAATTTAGATCTGGACTGTTTTTCTATCTTTATATATTCTTCAAAAAGTTTCACATGAAGTTCTGGAAGAACTTGGTCCAAGATTTTAAAATTTTGTGTTGCTTTTGCATCATTCTTAATACAAGTTTGATTATCACTAGCAAATACGAGACTTCTTCGGTCTGATGAAAGAGCCCAACCACTTGCATGTATGTCCACAGAAAGTCCCGAAGGAATAGAAAGTAAAAGATATGCGTGAAAATTTCCATCCTGTGCTATTTCTTTTGCTAATAATGGATTTTCAGGTGATTCAGGGATAGTGACAGATATTCCACCCCACGAATTTAGGCTAATGTTATTTTCTCCAGAACATATGAGCCATGACTTTTTTTCTTTCTTTCTTTCTCTCATTTCTACTATACCGTTACACATAGTTAACACCCGTTTTTCAACAAATAGTTCAAGCTGAACATCAAGTTTAAATGCTTGTAAATCATTTCCATATAACTTGCGATTTTCTGCATTTTTTGTAATTTCAACTCGCCATAAAGGTATTGGATCATCATTCTTTTTAATACTGGATTTTCTAAATACTTCAAAATATTTTACATTGCGCAGAAAAATTAATTCTGACATCGCATCATTCTTTATGATGTTTAATGATTCCATGACCTTGTTAATATTATCAATTTCATCTGAAATTAAACTTTTAGTTTTTCTAAGTGGTAATCTAAACAATGTTCCTTTAAATTCTCTATTATAATCAATGTCGAATCCACATCCTTTAACTTTCAAAAAAGGTTCAAATTGATCTTTAAATTTATTAAAGACATGATCTTCATTATAATTCTTAAAATTAAATCTAGCACCAGAACTATTATTAGGAAGAATTGATTTTTGAGGATCAAAAAATACTACATCCGTTCCTGATATTAATTGTGGTAAATCTGTAAAATGATAACATGAATTAAATCCAAGACCAAATTTTCCTATTTTATCATGTTGTAACCATTTACTACTTTTTCCAAGATTACAAAGTGATTTAAAATCTTCTTCAGAAAATTGTCCATCATTATATATCCATATTGCAGGTCCTTGTAAACTTTCCATAGTATCTTGTCTTAATAAAGATTTATTTGAGTATTGACTGTCATCAAGAATAACACAAAATCGGGTGGCTCCTGCATCATCTGCATTCTGAAGAAATTCTCTAAAAACTATTTCTTTACGATTATAATCCTAATTAAATTATCAAATAATTATCAAATAATTACTAAACTGTCATCAAAAGTTATACTTTAAAAAAGTTCTCTCCAAGCGCTTAAGAAAATTTTCGCATTTAATTATTAATACCAAATACCAAAATGGTTATTATGACTTAAATATATATTCTATGACGGATGGCATTGCAATCAGACAGTATCGACTGTATAAATTAATAAATTGATACATTACCCTAAGAATATTTTTCAACCTTGTAGTCAATTCTTCATTTTGCCCAAAATTAAACATAGTATCTGCTAAGAACGTCTCGCTTAAATTTTTAAGCTTTAATCTATTTGCTAAATCTTTTGAAATTTCTGAATGTGCTAAAGTGTTAAAATCTTTCATTGAATCACTAACCCTTGAACCCATATCATCATATAAAACGGTTTTATAATCTACCATTTGACATTCCATATTTGGGATTAATAATCCTGTTAAATCTTTTTCGGTTTTTGTTAATTTATCAATTATAGCTATTACACTAATTTTTTGTAATGGATCTGAAAAATCTGCATCAGAAAGTACTCGAAAATAATCATCAGTATCAAGTGCTTTTTTAACACCAAGTTTTTCAAAAAGTGGTGAAAATCTTTTATTTGGATGTGAAATTTGAACCCAATAACCATTAGGTATAAAACTAGGAAGAGAAAATACAACTTTATTTGTCGGATAAAGTTTATCTTCATTTAAAATCCATTTTTTCTCTGATAATTCTTGTTTTAAAAGGTTTAAATGAGTAGACCCATCTGATCGATTAATTATATCAACGAAATGTTTGTAAATTGCATTAATTTGATCTCGAATTTTATAATCAATCATATTAAATTTTTTTGTTCTTTTCAATACTTCTAAGGATTGTAATAATTGATTTATTACAATCTCTGTCGGAGGAATACTATCCCATCCGAGAACTTGACGTAAATCATCATTCATTATTTTATGATTAACTATTGGCAATGTGTAAGAAACCAGTGCTGCATGTAATCGATCTCGACAATCTGAGGATTTTGAAAATAAAGGTTGAGCATCTGAGTTAATGGTTGGAATCCATTGTTCTGATCGAATCTTTTCTTGAAATGAGATGTTATCTTTAAAAACTACATAATTATTGTCGATATAATTTAAAAGTGAAAGAGATTTTAAATGTACTTCATCAATTTGACTTTGACTCATTCTTGATTTATATACTTCTATTCGATTGATAATATCCTCACTGGTTACCAATTTTTTCATTCCTAATTCACCTAATTTAAAAAGGTAATCAAGAGTTGGATACTTTTTGGCAGGGAAGAATGGTTCATCCGAAAAGAACAATTCTCTTATCCAAATTTTTTCTGGGTCAAAAAGCTCGATTGGTTTTTTACGACCTGAAGAAGTTTTAACGAATGCTATTTTTGAAAGTTGACTATGAAAAGGTTTAATTAATGTCCATCTCTCAAAAAGCTTTACAATCACTTGATCCATAATACGAGGTGATTGAAGTCCTAATTGTGAAATAACATGTTCTTTCCAATATTCGTTTTGACCTAATCGTTTTACTTTGATCACATTTTCAAGAATAAAACAAGTGTCATCAGAAGTATGAGCATCCAAGAATGCACAAGGAGAAATAATAAGTCCACATGTTAATTCATCTTCTTTAGGAAGTAAGTAATACTTCTTTTCCGCTGTATCCAATGAATCGATACTTATAGTATCGTTCTTGTTCACTTCGTGAAATATTGGAAGTTGCTTGATTACATCTACAACTTTTTGATCAAAAGAAGATTCGCATCGTAAATAAGCACCAATATAGGCGATTAAATCTTCTTTTTGACGCTTTGATAGATCAGATTGAGTAATGTTTGAAGGAAAAGAAGGATTTTCTCTGAGAGATGAAAAGACATCCGTAATATTACTAATCTCAATCACATAATCTCTAAGACTGTAATATATACAATATAAATATATACAATGCATATTCAGTATATAACTTCAATATGTAACTTAAAAAATATAAAAATTTATAAAATTTACAAATTTACAAATAGACATACCCTTCATATTTAGAGATTACTTGTTTTTCAAACTTAATATCTACAAAGGTTGACCCCAACGATTTCAATGGAGAAATCAAATTTTGCAACAATGGAGTTGAAACACGTAATGGACGACATAAACATTTCGGCGTTTCTTTTAATTTTCTCAAGGTAATAACATCACTGTTATTTTCGATTGGTAAAAGATAAACATCCGAAAAGTTTTGTAAATTTCTATCAGTCAATTTTAAATGATTCCAAATTTTATATATCCATTGCATCTGATTTGTTTCTATTTGTAATTCTCGAATGTCCTGAGAATTTTCAGAATATATTTTATATTTATTTAATGATTTTTTAAGAAATTCTGCAAAATCAATATCCGAAAGAATTTGTATATTGATATTCTTTTTATTTGTTGCATAACTTTGCAATATTGATAAAAGTTCATTCCCGATTGTGGTATCAACTATTCCTCCTAGATAATCTTCATTAATAAGAGTATGTTCATTTTTACTAGCAATGTAAAATTTACTCCGGGTTTGAGATTCGAAAGTAGTAAAGGTTTGATTTTCGAGTGGTAGCAAAGGAAGACCATAAAGTTTAGAGATATCATTAACTTTGAGAACGTATTCCAATAAAATCAATTTTTCTTGACGACCAAGATTATTTAATCCGTTCAAATTTTCAAGAATAAATTCACAGACTTTTTCTGGAGTAACATAATTCAAAAGATTTTTATGTTTTGAAATATCTTGTTCCAATTTGGTGATTATTGGTTCCGGAATATTTACAAAGATTGGAAATTCTAATCTGGTTAATATTTCTGAAAGAACTGTAAATTTATCAAATTTCTTGTCGTTTAAATATCCATCTTTAATTGATAAATATTTTGATGGACCACGAAAAACATAAAGACTAGGATCAAGTTGATTAATAACATTCTGTAAAAGATTAAACCATAGACAATCTTTTTCATCTAATTCTCGATAAGATCCGTCCGCAGGTATTGGCCAAAGAGTATAGATTTGTTCAAATGATACATATTCTTTTACTTGTGATAAAAGTTTTTTCCATGCCACTGGGATAACGTTTTCAAATAAATATCTATTCCATGTGCTTTTAAGACGTAATAAATCACCTGATGCCTAGAGATAAAAAACAATATTAGCATTTATTTTTTATTTAACGTTCATATGAATGATCAAATAATCTAATAATAAATGATGATAATACCAGATCTTCATCCATAGAAACTTCCAAATTCCTTCTGTTTTTACTAACAGCGAAGCAGCCATTGATTGAAACCGAAAAATCATCTTTATACCCAGGCAAAGGTAAAAAACAATAAAGCTTTCCTTTATTCTTTGACACATCATCTATTCTTGCAGCCAATCCAACATTTGGCACAAATTTACAATCACGAATATATTTCTTAAATCCGGTATAATTTTTATCATTGACATCAGCAATATAATTGATAATTAACCATTCACTTTTGATATTAGATTGAGAAGAACTTTGACAAAATTTCATTTTGTAAATAGTTTCAAAAGCGCCAGTATTTGTTGGAGATTTTATTATTGACATTATATTATTAGCCAATAATTTTCTCTTGTCCGATATTTCTTTAGCATTAGTAACTTCAATTTGATACAAAAGTTTAGGAACAGTTTGACCTTTTTCGATTTCGTAGAATGATATTCTTTCAATGTATTTCAAAAACATAAGACAAGTAATGTTATCAACTTGAAAAAAAGTTTCAAACATTTCTTTTATTTGGTCAATTCGATATATTTTATCAGAAATTTCGGATTCTGAACCATCCAATTTCGTACGAAGGGAGTATCGGAATATTGTTCCATTATAAAATTCATCTAAACTATTATTTAAAGCTACTGAAAACGGCTTGAATTGATCAGGAAACTTTTGATTAAAAAAAAAAAAAGAGAAATCAGTATCAATTATTTATGCACTACAATAGATCAGGTAATTTTCACCTTTTTTACTAGATCGTGTTCTACGAAATCACCTTTGAAACCTCGTTGGCCAATTGGCAAATTACAATAACCACGAGCATGAGGATCAATAAGAACATAAGATGACCCAGAAATAATGGAGCTAACATCAGTAATATGAAAAACTGAATTGAATCCGATACCCATTACTGAAATTTAAAATTATTAATTTGTTAAATTTTTTGAAATATAATAAATCTATCATCTATTACCTACAATACTACTGTACAATATGTTTACCTCCAATTTTATCAAATTTATCTCTTTTTTCGCTATTAGCCAAATTCAACAAAGATTTAAAATCTTCAGGTTGAAAAATGGTGTCGTTAACAGCCAAAAGTGCAGGACCTTGATACCGATCAAGTCTTGGATCACATAATTTTTCAGTAGAATAAGTGTTATGATCCAAAATGAAAGTTTGAACAGTGCTTTTTGCGTCATCAGAGTTTTGTAAAATTTCTCTAAGAATTTGGGATCCATCCGGATACTCGGTTAAAATATTTTTAATACGAGTGGTGTAACTTTCATCAGGATGAAAAGAACCAAATGGGGAAGATTCACTCATAATGACGGTCTACATAAATATTAAAAAATTTAGTATATCCATCTAATATTAAATGGTGGATCGAAAAAGGTAAACTTACAATTTGCGGCTGTTAATTGACAATGAGACTTGAAATTTCTGCTTTAAAATTTGAATTATCGTTATATACCCTTGATAAATACAATTTTGACGATCTTTCCACGTGATCTACTGGAATGGGAAAATTCAAATCTGACAAAAATATGCACCCAAAAAAAATCAGGTTTGTCAATCAAGGAACAAGCACTAAACAATTCAAATAATAACTATTTCTTTCTTTTATATTTATCGTTATGATTATGAAAATCGGACGATACCTATCCGTTCTCTCGGAAATCGGGGAAATCCAGAACTCAACTCCGATTTCTTATAGAACAAATTGATTAGGCAATTGCAACACAAATATCAGGTCATTTGACTTTATCCAGCCAGAAATTATTAGAAATTATTTTGTGATACGTGTTGATTTTTCATTGTGCGTCTACTATTGACAATTAATTGATAAGTAAACAACCAATCGGAGTTTATCGGTGTTTTAACTTAAATATGTTTTTAACCTTAAGGTTACGTAAGCACCTTATTTAGCTGAACAAAGTCACCCTTCGTGCCAAATAGTTTAGATTATACCAATTATCTAATAGAATTGACTCATATTATTTGTGATATTTAATTTTTCTATCGTTATCGTTATGCACAAAAAGAATTTACGTCACATGAATATATATTTTTTTTCGGTCATTATTTCCGAATTTAAATCTAACTTTATCAATATACCAAAGTTCTTTGTTCATTTCTAAAATTGTTGAATTTCCTTACGGACATTTATAAGTAAGTTTTTTTTAATCTTTTTGATTTCGTTTTTACAAAAGATTTTTAGTACAGCAATTCACACAAATATACGTGCATATATATTCAAAGTACTCGTATAATATTATAATATCATCATAATATTAAAAGATGTCTCAGGATAGAATTCTTTTTTTGCAATCCAAACATGCAAAGCAATATGGTCAAGATTCTAAATTGATTAACTTGATAAAGAATATTATCAAGGTATCAAAGAAATTTACATTCAGTTATTGTGATCTACTTTTAATTCTGTTACAATTTTTACAATTTTTCATTTTTACTCTCGAAATTATTTTATAGGATTATCCTCATGAATCCGTATTTCGTAATTAACAATAAAATTATTTTTTTTTTTAAATGCTTGAGCAATAAATATATTACATAAGTGAATTGATTCAATTATTTGAATAGGCGAGTTTTTGCAAAATGCAGATGACGCAGGGGCTCGAACTTTTCGGTAATGATTTTAGACATTTTACTAGTATATACTAGCATATACTAGCATACTATCATATAGTCGACATTTATAATAATTCTATTTTCAAATAGTGTCATTGTTGACGAACGCAAAACAAATCAACGTGAATCTTTAATATCCGAGGGAATGAAAGATTGGCAAGGTCCTGCGATCTGGATTTATAATGATGCAATGTTTAATGAACATGATTTCAATGCTCTACTTAACATTCATGAAGGAGGCAAACGTTCTGATCCTACAAAAATCGGAAGATTTGGAATTGGATTTAATTCATGTTTTCATTTTACTGATGTTCCTAGTTTCGTTAGTGGCAAATATATACAATTTTTAGATCCACATGAAAAATTTCTTGGTAAACAACGTGGTCTTCAAATTAATTTCCTTGAAAATGATAAATTCAGACACTTATTTAAAGATCAATTGGCTCCGTATATTGGGGTGGAAGGTTGCAGATTTGATAAAGAATTTAAAGGAACCTTATTCAGATTACCTCTTCGTATTCGCCCAAGTGAAATTTGTGATGAAATCTTTAACACAACTAAAATTTTAAACTTTTTAGAAAAATTAAAATCTAGCGCAACTTCTGAGTTACTCTTTTTCCGTAATATTGAATCTTTTGAAGTCATGCATATAACTGCTGATTCTTCTCCTAATCAAGTTATGTCAAAGTGGAAAGTTAATTTAACCAATATTACTAGAGATATTCAAATTCAAAGGCGTTATACAGATGACAAATTTACTTCGTTTCGTTTAAATGTAGAATTTCGTGATGGTACCAAAAATGTTTCTAATTTATGGCAAGTGTGTATTGGTGGTCAAAAATCTATAGCGGATGAAGAATTAATTAAATTTGCAGAACGTCATCGAATGTTGCCACGAGGTGGTGTTGCTGCTTTATTACCCTTAAGTAACGAATCTGATAAAAATAGAGAGGATGGTCGGTTATACTGTTACTTACCTTTACCTCAGATAACATACCTCCCAGTACATCTTAACGGTAATTGGGCTTTGTCATCGGATAGATCTACTGTCCTTTTGAACAATGATTCGTTAGCAGATATGGACAAATCTAAATTGGCATGGAATCGATATTTGTTATTAAAAATCTTACCTAATCTTTATGTTAAACTTTTGGAAGAAATTGTAGGGTTTGCAAATAATAATAATACCATAACTCATAAACAAATCGTAGAATATTTTTGGCCTTTACCAAAAAGTAAAGAGAAAAATTCTATTTATGTTACAGAATTTGGACGAGAAGTTCTTAAAAAGCTTCCTATTGACAAACCTCTATTTTGGTCAGCTACTGGAGTTGGTTCTTATGTCTCTTTACGGGAAGGATTTTTTGAAAATGATAAATTTATCATTGAAATTCTTGCAGAGTATAGTAAAGTGAAAAGCGTGCAGTTACCACTTGATATGTTAAATGAATTGAAATTAGCAGGTGTTGAATTAGCCCCAGTTCCTGCAGGAATGGTTAGACAAAATCTCAAGGGCATTAACAATCTTTCAAGTAAATATAAATACCATCAGTTAATCAAATTATTGGTATTTATTTTAGAAGATGAAAATTATGAGGATTTAGACGATATTTATTTGATTCCATTATATGATAATCAATGGGGTAAATTTGATAAACTATCTGAACAAAAATATTATTTAGCAACTCGTGAACAACAAAATTTGGTACCACACGTAAATTTATCTAATTTTGTTTATGACAAATACTGTGAACACCCAAAGTTAAAAGCTATTTTTGAACATGAGAAATTTCATGATCAAACGAATGTAAGAAAATTTAACGCCACATCACTTGCGTCCCTTTTAGCATTTGAACTTCAACCGGAACAAAAAATTACAAATTGGGATCCAGATTCAGCAATAATTCCAAATAAAAAATGGTTAGATGAAATTTGGAAAATTATTTTGGAATCAAATACAAGCTTAGAATTATTTTCTCGTTATCCACTTTTAGAGGTTATACGTCCATCAAGAGAATTAATACTTTTAGATTTAAAACGTCCATTACTTGAATTACCACAAAGTGATATGTCACATTTTGAGAAATTGGTTATCATTCTTCAAAATTTGGGAATTAAATTTACTGATCGTTCTTGGGATGCAAAGTTAGGCGATTACATTCTTAGATGGACTCCAGAAACGGTTTTGAAATCATTTGGTGATTTATTAAAAAAAAATATGAGACCGTTTACAAAATTGGCAAAGGATGAAGTTAAAGCTATAAGACACTTTATCATTGAAAATTGGAACGATTTTTCCACAAGTAATGGGACTAAAGGTAAATATTTTCGGTTAATTAAATAAACTTTACAAATTTAACTATTATAATTTAATGATTTTAATTTAACGATTATAAACATCTTTAATAATCTTTAATAATCTTTAATAATCTTTACGTTTTCAGTTAAATCCGAATTTCGTGAAGTTTTATGTAAATTACCAGTTTGGCCCACAGCTGCAAAGGGTGAAAAATTCAAAAGTCCAAATGACGGATTACTCCCTCCGAAAAAAATTGAAATACTATCACCCAAATCAAAATGTTATTCGGATAAACTGTTTCTTAATGTAAAAAATGATGATTATCAAAAAATTTTGGAAGCATTAAATGTACATTACGTAGATCTTGTCAATTATTTAAAAAATCATTACACATTTCCAAGAGAATACGATGATAATTATTTTAATTTCATTAAAAGTGTTTTAACTTCAAGTAATTTTCATGAAATCCAAAGTTGGATCGAAAGCAAACCTGTAATTCCAAATAGATCAAACAAGAAACTTAAAACAGCCAGGGATCTTTATGATCATAAAACTTATATATTTCGAATAGCTTTTGAAGGAACTGATCGTTTCCTTCATGATGAATTTCAAAACAACACAACTTATTTAAACATTATGAAAAGAATGGGTTTTAAATACCAAGTAACTAGGCAAACGTTTCTTGAATGTGCAAGAGCTATTCAAAATCAATCTCAAGAACAAAGATATCATTCTGATGATTTGATTTATCGTGCCACAACTGTAGTTCATTATTTATATGATAATATAGATGATTTGAATTATTCTGATGCTGAATACGAGGAATTAGCACGTATATACTTCATTCCAGCAGAATCATCTATCCAAACTCCTTATTCTGAAAGAGCTGTGAAACCTAAAGAATTTGAATGCCTTAATTCATTATGCTTACCTAAATATAAAAATATAGGTAATTATAATTTTTATAAATATAGATACAATATTTATTACAATATTTTATTGCAACATTAAAATTTTGAAAATTTTTTGATTTTTAATGTTTTATAAAGCTTTTACGCAAGTGGCATTGTTTCACAGCGCTGTAATTCCTAAACCTACATCACCGATATTAACCAAATACAAAAAATTTGGAATGCCAAGTGCTATTCAAATTCTAGAACATTTACGTGAAGTAGCCTTCAAATTATCAAAATCTAATCAATGGAAATATGAAGAATTCCTTTTTAAAAAGATGCTTGATGAAATGTATAACGCACTTAATGAAGAATGTGAAGATGAAGATTCTGAACTTGCTAAATCTTTTATAAATGGCGAAAGAATTTTTCTAAATATATATCCAAATGAAAATGCCTTTGACGAGTCGAATTGGAAGGCGGCAAATGATCTAATTGTTGGTGTCAGTTTATCTGAAGAAGGATTTGTAAAACCTAGTTTGGCGAAATATAAAAAATTGTTGGAAATCGCAGGATCTGGTACTTTAAGATCTGGTGAAGATTTGGATGATGATTCAGATCAAGATGATCAAGCTGAAAAGGTGAATCCACAAGGAGAAATACTTTTGAATTCACTTCAACAATCGTTAAAAAATGGATTATCTGAACCTCTCAACGATGTGATATTTACTGTAAAAGATCAAAAAATTGCTGCAAATAGACTTGTACTCGCATGCGCAGCTGATCACTTTAAGCACTCGTTCTCGAGCAAGTATAGAGATGGTAACCCATTAGAAATTGTTACTATTCCTGGGTATGACATTGAGCCTGATTCATTCAAAGTTTTATTGAATTATTTATATGGAATATCACTCGATACTGCTATTATGCCTACAAAAAATAAAAGTGGAAATAAGTATAATTATAAAAATATTGAAGAAGATTGGTCTCAAGAACAAGAAAATGAAAGGCAGTACAAGATTTTGATGGACCTTTTAGAAGCATCTGATTATTATAATCTAATGAATTTGAAAAATGAAACAGAAAAGAAACTTTTTGAATACGTGAAGCTTTGTAATGTTGATGAAGTTCTTGATCATGCAAGCAATTATAATGCTGACTCACTAATCAAATATTGTAACAAATTTATTGAAAATAATCAATCATTTTTATAATTTGTTAAATAGTTTTTCTTGCATGAATTTCTAACATTTTTCTTATTAAATAAATTTATTTGTAAATAAAAAGAAAAATAAATTACTTTGAGAATTTTGTTAACAATTATTAGATCTAGTTCCAAATATAATAAAGTTTATAACTGTACGATTGTGAAGGATGGTTCCGTTCAACTTTTTTGGTTAGCTATATTTTTTCCTTCTTTAGAAGGTATTATGGTTATCACCTTTTTTTCGTTTACGATATAGTTTAAGCACCGTGTAAACTTTATTTGCGTGTGGCTTCAAAAAATATGCATTTTAATGTGTATTGTGGTTATCGCATAAGTTATTTTGTAAAATTATGGTTTTTTGATTTGCTCGATAATAGCGGCCATACAAAAAAATAAAATATAGATGCTAGACTATGTTGTGGTTACAAATTCTCTCTGCATATTAAATGGTGCATAGCTAGAATTTGTATTATGTATACTTATTGAGTTAGTATGATTTGTTAGTTTATGATTTGTTAGTTTATACCAGGGTTCATGTAAAAATTTGAATATCAAATAGCAGATCTTTATTTCAATATTAGTAAATATTTGGAAAACTTGGATAAAAGTTTTTAATATTTAAAATCGCAAAAAGATATTTTTTTTTATAAAATTTATTATTTGCGTTGATTGAAGTATAACATATTTAACATTTTTAATGAATTTTTGCTCAAACTCTGTCAATCATCTTCTAAAAGGTTATGTAATAGAAAAACTTCTCTCAACTGTGTAAGAAGAAACAGGTAACCAAATATAAAGCATAACAATATTGCTTAAAATAAGAAGAGAAGAGATTTTTTTTAAAAATTTACCTAAATTACTAAATTCAATTAATGTCAAATCTATATTTGTAAAGACCCAATTTATATAATAAAGCATCTGAAGAATTATTTAATTCATAAATTTGAGCTAAATAATTTTTGAAAATTATAATTATTAATTGTCAATTTAATAAAGTGAGTATAAAGCCTTTCTTTGATAGCTACTTTTTCAACAGCCACTTCTCTGATATTCTATTTTCCTGACAGCCTATTTTCCTAACTTACTTCTTTCACTTTACTTTTCTAACAATTCATTTTTCTAACAGTTTATTTCTCTAATAGTCTATTCAATCTATTTTGTTAATAGCTTTTCTAAGTTTTTTTTATTTATACTGATGATATTACCATCATGAGGTATATGTGGTGCTTTTTATTTATAAATCTGAATTATATGTTTTTTTCTATCGGCACTCCTGTTTATTTTATTTTGAAAACAGATTTTATTCTTACATCAGCATATAAAAAAATCTAAATCTATATTGTTCCTACCAAAAGATAAACTCACCTACAGCATACCTTGCAGGTGCTATAACATCCACTTGCAGTTAGAGCAAACTATTAAACTGCTTTGTTTTGCCCAGATGTGACCTGCCTAGCAAATGTTGGCCTCTTTCAGAGATTCAGAACTTACTCCAAACTTATTTTTCTTGGATTCATTAGCTGGCTGTTGCACTGCCCTGTCAAGATTCCTGCTTTAAAATAAAATGCCACCAAACTAATGATAGGGCAGAAAAAAAGAAAAAAAAAGAATAATAGAGAACAAAAAAAAGGGTATATAATAAAAACTAATATATCAAAGACACAGATATTAATACTAAGAAGTAAAAATCTAAACTAAAAACCTAAAAAAAACTATCATTAAAAAGATGAAAACCTGTTAAACAGGTAAAAACTTCTAATTATACAGAGTAACAGTCTACTATTAAGTGTGAGAGTCTTGACAAAAACTTATAACAAAGTGTACTATAACTTGTGCTAGAGGTTAAAAACATATATAAAGGACACATTGTATATCTTAAAATACTTTGCTTGATTTTTTTTATTAAATTTATATTATCATCTGAAAGTATAAGGATTTTAAAAACTCTACATAACTTGTGTTATCATTTCATTTATTTCGTAAAATGTGCTGATTTGTCAATATCTAGTTTCTCAATATAGAAGTGATAAACAATATTGATCCTTGGAGAGGATAAGTCAAATTTTCAAAAATTTTGAAACCAAAGGATGGTAAAGAAGTATCGAGTTTTTGCTATTTTTCAACCAAAAAGTGTTGTTTCAAGAGTTCTTCATAGTCTTCATTTTCAAACAAACTTTAGTTCTCTTTTCTACTTTTATTCCCAAAGACTCTTTCAGTTTAGATATCAAATGCAAAGGGAGTCTATCTAAGAAGGCAAGAAGAAAAAGGTTTGACTCCTTTGCAAACTATCTAAAATACCTACTTCTCAGTATATTATGTTTAAAGACTTCTTTGACAACAGTTTGTATCAAGAAAACTTCAAGTTGTTATTGACTTGAATCTTCAACTTGCTTTTGGTATTAGGTTGGTACAAGTGATCATTAGGAAGAGTGTAATCTGAATTACATATTATATATTGTAATTTTTATATTTTTTTGTACTTCTGTATCTTTTTAATTTATACTAGTCCTCAAGATATCTCTTCATTCACCTCCCTGCCTGCTAGTGGTGTTTTTTTCATTTTTAGCCTCATCTGGTCCTTCTTCTGATAATCTATTCTGTGCCACTTCAGTATTTGGTTTACTATCTTAGTCTATTTTGAGGTTTTGGTCATCCTTCTATTTAAAGTGTAAGCAGAGACCCCTAAATATTGAATTCTGTGGTCTTTTTCTTTTATTAGATTAGTACTACTAGGTTCTTTAAGCTAAAATTACTCAATTTTTATGTTATTTGTTGATAGATTCACCCTATCTAATTATTCTTAACCTCATGGTTATTCTAATAGACTGCATTTTGCATGTATGAATCCTATTTCTTCCTTATATAAAAATTGTCTTTTTAAAGATCCTTTCAGTTGTAGTTCTGACAGAGTCTTGTCTTTCGGCTGAATTTGAACTTCAACCTTGCGACTATGACCTGGGAGTGCAATTTCTGTACTATTAATCTACAGGTCTGCTCTTCTAAGTTTATATTTATAAAGTTATAAAATTTTATTTAATATTATTAATTGCATAAACAATATATATTTGAGCAACCAACTCATAGGTTTATTTATTTATTTTATTTATTTTATTTTTTTTAATTTTTTTATTTTTAATTTTTTTTTAATTTTTTTTTTTTGCTTTTTTATTTTATTTTTTTTTAAAAGAGTGAGGCCTGTTCTCAGTCTTTATTGAATAATTATACATTACATTATTTAAATGGATTACATGAATTATTACAGGGACCTACAGCTAAGACTAATTTATTCTCAGTACAAAGCTTTACTAGAGTAGACTACCTGGTCTCTATTATATTAGCAAATTTAATAGGGTGAAATATTTTAAAATAATTTACGAACCATAAAAAAACTATAATATTATGTAATATATTTCAAAAACATGTGAAATATAAAAATTACAAAATATTTCGTAAGATATTTCGAAATATTACATAAGAAATTTTAAAATAATTTGAAATAAATTCGCAAAATAAATATTAGAGTTATGTGATGTAAATGAATTCAAATTAGTTTGAATATAATTAAATAAGTTTGAAATAATTTTAAACATTAAATATAGCTAGGTATACATATTAAGACAATCACTAATTTAATTATAAAATAAATCGATATGTATTAAATATATTAAATTAAGGACATGACTAGACAGTGTCCCAAGCACTTTGTGCTCTTTACTATAAAATTGGCAATATCTCAAAATTTTGACTAGGTAACCCTGTCATGTAACATAAGCAAAAATATTCATATCGCAATTTTACATTACCTAACCCTAAACCTAACCTTAAATCTAACCTTAACCTAACCTAATACTATTGCAGGCTCAATTTTGCTATAGACGCACAAAGTGCTCCGGGGCACTGTTTAGATTTATCCTAAATTAATTCTATAAATTTGAAATAAATAAGAATAAAACGTTAAAAATATCAAAAAGATAGATAAGAAAATTATAAAGAGGAAGATTTTATTTAAACATTTTGAAATAATTCAAATAATTCAAAATAATTCAAAATAATTAAATTATGATTCATGTTTTATATTTTATATTGCAAAAATTTTAGTATAATTAATTTTTTATAATATCATAGAAATATTTTTATCTTAATTTAATATTATTAAATTTAGTATATTAAATATATTTGCTCCACCCCAAACAATCTCAGATCAAGGCCTTTAAGGTTAAACTATTACTCAACGAACTACCAACACTCTCAAATTTAAATACTCGCAACTCTAAAAAATACCCTAGCCCAAACTGCCCAAGATGCACAACCGAAGCTGAAACCAATACATACTGGATTTTATTCCAGCAAATACCCTCACTATTGCTCAGATTATTCAGCAAGTAATAACAAAAATTTGTACCAAAGCACAAGCTTCAGAGGCAATAAAAAAACAAATATCAGACCTGATGCAAATACTAGAGACTATTACATACAACGATCATTCACCTGATATCCTACTAGGAATCACCTCAGAAATCCAAAAAACTATGATCAATCACCTACTTAAAACAGCCTAGGGGAAACATACGCCCATTACAATAATCCTACACAAGATCAACAAATCAATCTACAAGAATATCTGGATATCTAGATGCCAAAATGCTGCAAACCATACAATGACTCCAACATCTTCAAACATACCAAATACCACAAACAACTCTATCACAAGTACCGATAATACTAAAGCAGATATCGATGAAATAGCTAGAAAGAAAGTTTCAAGCTGGTTTAAATCATTCATACAAAATAATACATCCCCTAAAAAACTCTCCCAAATCGTAATCTAGGTGAGGCTTTGGCCTCTTTTGGTAAAGTTTGGATCATGGGTAAAGTAGCCCAAGTCTTAGTTTTAGCTTTAGAGTATATATTATGCTTTTCTTTATAAATGTAATCATATAACTTTATCAATAAAAACTGAGGCAAGACCCCGCTTTCAAAAAAAAAAAAAAATTTTAAATATATTTG